ATGACGGGTACCAACGACGCTCGGCGGGAGACGCAGACACCTCTACCCTTTATCCGGCGATGCCGGCCTCTCGACGCTCGAAGGGACAAAGGGCGCCTCCGCGGGAAGCCGTCTCCCCCGCAGCGTCGAAACCAAAACACCGACGGCACGGACGCGTCTAGTGTCGACCGCCGATGATTTATCGCTCCTTCGAACGCCGTCTTGCACTTTCTCGCTCTTCCATCCTCGATTTCAATCTGTTCAGGGGCGAGAACATATTATTGTGTTATTATGCAATTCAATATTGCATTGACACTCGCGATCGTTTTGAATGTACACCCACAGAAAAAAAACCTCCGGATTCTTTGCTATTGCACTTCAATGTATCGTGAAATAGGATCGGCATAGCGTCGATCATATTTGTTATAGAGAAAGGAATATTTTAATCTGAACTGAAAAATTCTAAAATCTAAAATAAAACGACAGTATATATCGTCTTTTGTCGAATATCGTGGTGTCAACTTCGTGCGTTGTAAGATGGAGGGACACTTTATTCTAAACGCAAAAAAATATATAAAGTTACTCTTGTCTCAATATAGTAAGTCCATCTTTTTTAATTCGATAGAGGAGAATAAGAATTGTTGATTTTATTTGATGTTGTCTTATTTTTTTACTAAATGAAATTGTGAGAAATATAAACGCGTCAAGAATATTTTTGTCTCAGGAATCCTTTCTGAGGGTGTAAAGCAGAGCTACGTACACTTTTAAATAAGAATTCTAGTTATACAAAAAACGTACAAATTGCATTTGACAGAAGTCGGAGCGCGCCCTGTACTTTCGTCCGAATTATAAATTAGATCGTAAAGTACACACGTTGTGCACGTGTTTCCACCGGCAATTCACAATTTTTCCTCGCCATAATTAAACGATAGTAACTTTTAATTCAAGTTACTCCAGAAACACAAAAGGGCTTTTACAGAAGAGTTTAATGGGCAGCCCCGTTGAACGAAAACCGTTTTGTGTTACTCGGAGAATGGTCGTAGAAAACCTGCTGAAAATATATGCCGCGAAAAGATTGATCTTAATTAAAGCGAATGTAACAAAATTGGGGAACTCCTCTCGCTACTCGCGAGCTTTCCATCTTTGCAAAAATAATCTAATGAAGTGTGACAAATTAATTTATTCCTTCCTACTGCAACACCACTTTCAAGGGGTGTGCCCAGAGTTTTGTCAAGTAGTATACGTGTAACCATATGGTCCAAAGTTTCATTTCGAAATCTGTTAAATAAATTATCACATATAATAATATGTACACGAACACACGCACGCGCGCGTATATTGAAAGACTTAATAATGTATTTCTGCAATGCTAGTATTGGTATTTTAAAGGCTATCATTAAATATTTTTCTGCGATAGAGACGGATACTATGTAACGATATCAAACAATCGCTCACGCCAGCGGCGAACTTTTAGCCGCCACTGTACGTATACACGCTCGAACAAGGTAAAAATCAGGCTCGCAATCTGGATTCTCGTTCCACGTTGGCCTGTCGTCCCGACCGACGTGCCGGCACCTCGCGCGTCCCCGCGTTTCCACTCGTCGCCAGAGAGAGGCCCCGGCTGAGCCCCCGAGGTGGAAGGAAGAATGGAAAACGCTCGCGTGACGAATATTCGACGCGTCCCGCGGTTCTATTCGCCGGCCGACGAGCCGTATTTAGCGTCGTCTTCTCTCGAGCAATTTAAAGCTCTTTCGCGCGTGGTACCGGCCGACGACCTCTTCCGGGATTCTGACGACGACTTCCGGCATATTCCGCACGTCAAGTGGCCGGCCGCGATTTTCCTCTTTTAGCAGATGCATACGGTCGCACCTTGCGCGGCCCGGGACCGCCCCGGGTGCACGTACACACGCGGCGCGCGGATCCGTTGCGTGCGGCTCGCGTGCGAAAGAGGAACCAACGAGTTTCGAGTAATGGCCGGGATAATTGCCCGGCGTATTATTACCGCGGAATGCGGCGGATTTGATATTAAATCGGTCGCGCGTACATACGGACGTCTATCTTTCCTCTCGCACGACGGCGCGCCGCGTGTACATACGTGCCTCCTCGGCCGATCCTTATCCTCGCTTACGCGACGACGAGCCGCTAACTCGAGAGAGAGAGAGCGAGAGGATACGTCGTGTTTTAGAAACGCCAATAAAAGCTGGCGTAATCGTTACGCGTAATGATACTTGACCCACGGAGCCCTTCACGGAGAGCCCCTCGCGCTCGGAAATGATTTCACGTCGTGCCCGGCGCTGAATTGTTTCGACCCGTCAACGAGGCCTTCGGAGCGCGAACGACGGCACGCACGATACGCTGCGTATCTATTTCGAAAGGATAGAAACGAATATACTCGTCAGGCCGGAGATAAATCTGTGACAGCTTCGTCTCTCTTTTCCACATAATGCGCCGCATATAATAAATTACAGAAATAAGAGAAGCTTGTTTCGAGCAACGGGGCGCGCATGATTAATGAGTGGATGTTGTATCGATAACTCATAACGCCTCGCGAACGACAAGTCAAATGGAATGTCTGACGGGAGTTTAAAGATTATGACTCGTGTTTCCATCGCGCATTTAGCGCTCAATATAGCTGTCTTGTTCTCGTCTCACACTGACACCGCAAACAAACGTTTCACACCAGGATTTGACGCGCGGTTTTCAAAGAAATCCGCCATGTTCTTAACTTCAGTATGTGCTTTACCATATCTGGCATTTTTAATCATACAGAAAATTTATTGCGAAAAATATTATCTCGGCCAGGGTTTGAATTTCTCTACACTCTAGGCGGGCGTCTCACCAATTCGACCACTGAGGCATGTGGTAATATTTGTCGCAATAAAGTGTAAAGATGTTGTCTTCGCGTCTGTTTTTCGACTTTTAAACGCAGCAATGTTTTCAACAAAGCGAATCCTATTGTCGCTATAAATATATGATTTACTAAATTCTGCCGTGGATCCCACGTGAATCGGCGCAGTTAAATATCGATATTCCGCGCGGGAGAAACGCGCGGTCGTAGAAAGGTAATGCGGAAGGTCGCACTGAGAAAAATGTCCGATTAAATATAATCGGATAATCCAATTACATGATAACAAACAGATATATCCGATTAAATTGTATATCCGATGAAAAATTTGATCGGTTTTTCAATGAAATTTCATCGGTAATTGCATTTCATCGGATAAATTTCATCGGATATATTCATAATTTAATCGGAAAACGTAATCGCAAAAATTAACCATCGGACATACTATTTAATGGTTTATCCGATGAAAATTTTTCTCAGTGCGATTTTATGGCGTGGCACGGTGCCTCGCCTGCATTTTCGTGGAACCGATTCGCGGGGCGACGCTGACCGAGTCGACGAATCTAGATCGTATCGGGGATCTTACGTAGTTCGCGTAATGAGGTAAAAAAACCCACTGAAAAGGCGCGCCCGAGGAAACCGGGGCTGGCGAACGAGGGCCGGTCAACGGGACGTGACTCCGATTTTCCAGCGGTTCTGCTCGCTCGCTCGCAGGCCGGATAATTTGCATTTCGGTATCCCTATCGCGTACCCCGAGGTGACGAATTATCCTCTCCGCGCATTGCGTAACGACCCCGTCGTCGTCGTCGTCGTCGTCGGGGCCGATACCGTTAGATTTACGGGTCGGACGGCGCTCTCGCCATGTTCTATTCCGGCGCGACATCCGCCAGTGAATTAGGAAAACGGAGCTCCCTCTCCCGCTGAAGGACGACGCACCGCCGTAACGATTTATGGGCGCGTCCTCGAGAATCGAGGGAACGTTTTCTCGTTCGATCATTTATGAATTTTTATGTAGGGGACGATTCACATGGCTCTCCATGTTTAGCCGCTTATTTACGAAGCTCTTCATCATCGGGCATTAGAACAACCAGCAGCGTCCTTAAACATTTCATCTCTCTCTCTCTCTCTCTTTTTCTCCCATTAACGACACGTACACTCGTTAAATATTTCTCAATATTGGACACTAATATCTAACATTACGATGCACTATGAGAAATTTTATGTTGATACTGTTCCGAAAGCCATCCAGCCAGATTACCAGATAATCCGAGATTGCGAACACATTTCCGATAAATTTAATTTACTGGTGTACCTTAGACTAGTATCCTGTACATCGCGCAGTCGGAACAATGTAATTCGCCCGACAGTCAACGATTATTCAAACTTCCGTCGCGGCGATAAAATCGCTGAAAGGCGCGACGGTAAGCATCCACTCGCGTGCTCGCCAACATTACCGCTCCTCGGCAACCGTCTTCGGCGATCGCTGGCAATCTTTCCGCGCAACGACGATAATATATTTATGCGGCTTGTCGATGCGTGGGCAACCCGGAGAGCCGACCGCGACAGATCTCGCTCCCACGGCCCGTTCGCTCGCTCGTCCAACAAATCGTGAAACAATAAATCCGGTAGCGCGGGGGCTCACCCTCTTTACGAGGTCCTTATAGCCGGGGATGGATGCCCCTTCCGCGAGGGCGGGGGTAGCCTAATATGTCACAGTCTGTTGCAGGGCGCCCCGCCGGAGTCGAGGGTGGCCCGTCGTTTCGAGGGTCAACTTGCGATTAGATGCGCTCCTAATGGAGCGATTCAATAGCGACGATCTGATAAACCGATTCCGCGCGTTCCCGGTCCCGCATTCGCGAATCTTATTAACCATGATCCTCGTTTCGGGCACTCGCGTCCCCAGGCGAATTTTACAATCGGCAGCGACAAGGATCGCGCGCGTGTCATCTCTTCATCTCTTTAAATTAAATTTGCTGATAGTAAATCTTGCTTCCTAATGAAAATACCACCTCGGGACAACGTTCGATCCTCGCGCGAGGGATCGATTGGCGTTTTACGGTCGAAACCTCGCTTATGGAGTCGTCGAGAAGTCCGAGATGCAACGTCGGGAAAAATGATTTGCATAATTTCAAAACGCGCGATTCGCCGCGAGATAAGACGAACGAGCGAGGGTATCGCGGATCTACCGTGCGAAAGCACGATGAAGCAATAAATTTTGCCAAGTTGGCGCGGAAGACACGCGAACCATTTTGTTCGAGAGATCCGGTTGATTCGCCAGTACTGATATCTGTGCGCACACAACGCTCATTTTCGCGAATGTTGGCTGCGAGGATACTAACGACACGGGGATAACTTTGCTTCGATACATAAACATTTTTCCAAAGTTGGGAAGTAACTCCGTTACTTCTCGTT